TGGTGGTGGTGGTTTTGTATGTCAAAATTTGAACTTTGTTCATTAAGGGGTTAGTTAATCCCCTTTACCCATTATTTTATATATTGGTCTTCTGTAATTTAATGTTTCCTTTTTATGTTTCCTGCTATTTCGTTTGTTTCCTCTTTTATCATGTAGTCTGTGATTTGTTTTACCCACCTGCTAGCTCCATTAATCTGAAAATTTTCTATTTGGAAAATTTTACTTTACTAAAATCAAATTAACTTCCATGGTGGCAGATTACTGTCCTGGTTCACAGGGCAAAAGAAACAAAAACAAAACCCAGAAGTTTAACTCATTTGCCTCACACAATATATAACGGGATGAGGAAGATAATATACTCTCCCATGTGAAGAGATTTCTCTTATGTTGACTAAAGATGGCATTAGACATAACATGATAGCAGTTGCATATGCAACATACAAAGCAATTCAGTTAGAATGATAACTAAGAATAAGCCTAAATAACTCACATACATAATTGTCTTAAAATAGATAACTTGAGCACAAATCTCTGTATTCATTTTGAGTTAGGTTATTTGACACAAGGTAGCTCAGAGATATAATTCCACTGAATTAAATACTTTTCAAGATATTCCTCTCAAATTAGATGCTATTCTTTTCAAATAAGCTAGAATTAAAACTAAAATACAAAAACACAAGTCCACACAAAAATTTGCACATGTACACGTTCATGTCAGCATTGCTCATGATAGCCAAAAAATGGTTAACAACCCATATGTCCCTCAAGTGATGAATGGATAAACAAAATGTGGTATATATCCATAAAGTGAACTATTATTCGGCAATAAAAAGAAACGAAGTCCTGATAACATGATAAATAGAAGGATGAACCTTGAGAACACTATGCTAGGGAAAAGAAGCCAGACATAAAAGACCACATTATATATATAATTCCACTTATATGAAATATCCAGAATAGGCAACTATATGGAGATAGAAAGTAGGTTAGTAGTTGTGTAGGGCTGGGGGTGAAGGGAAGAGGGATTAACAGGATTTGAAGGCTAATAAGTACAGGATTTCTTTAAGGCTGGTGAAAACGTTCTAAAATTATATTGTGCTGATGGCTGTACAACCTTTGAATATAATATAATTACACACTTTATAAACTGTATGGTATGTGAATTACATGTCAATAAAGCAGTTAAAAACAGATTATAAAAATATAAACTATTTCTGAATATATGAGAAACAACTCCGATAAATACTCAGTTTTATATAATTGATAATGATAGGATATTTTATATACCGCTTCGTTTCAGAGCAAAACTAAGCTTATACTACTCCATATAAATCAGTGAAATTCAACTTTCCCAAAATACAATTAAAGGCAGTGATGTCAGCAAAAATGGAAGACTAGATTGCTCCACAGAAACACTAAAAATAAAAAGCAAAGCAAAATGGATCAGAATAACCTTTTTCAGCAATCTGGAAAACAGTCAAATGTTCACAACAACCAAGTAAACACAGAATCAAGAAAAAGGCAACTTAAAAACAATAGCAAAGATGTATGGTGTTTTTACGAGCCCTTGTCCCACCCATCTTCCTGGCTGGGTGGGAGGGTCTTGAAGAAAGCAGCCTGCCTTCTCACTGTGGGACTCTGGTCTTGGGCTAGATAGGGGGCATTTCTCAAAAACACTGTAAGGCAAATGAATAACCCATTCTGCCTGTGACAAAACATTAAAGTTGAAGAAAACAAGACATGACATACCATCAAGTGTACAACATATGCATAATGGAAGTCCCAAATAAGAGGAAAAAGGAAAAGGAGCAGAAAAAATATTTCAAAAAATAATGACTGAAAAATTCCAAATTTAGCGAAAGACTAAATCTATACACCCAAGTTGTTCAGTGAACTCCAAGGATAAAAGCAAAGAGATCTACACCGAGACATATTATAATCAAACTGCTGAAAACCAAAGACAAAAAGAGAATCTTAAGAATCAAGAGAAGCAACTTGTCATTTAGAAGAGATCCTCAATGATATTAACAACTGATTTCTCAAAAGAAACCATACAGGCCAAAAGGCAATGAAAAGACACATTTAAACTGCTAAAAGAGGGGCGTCTGGGTGGCTCAGTTGGTTAAGCGACTGCCTTCGGCTCAGGTCATGATCCTGGAGTCCCAGGATGGAGTCCCACATGGGGCTTCCTGCTCAGCAGGGAGTCTGCTTCTCCCTCTGACCCTCTTTCCTCTCGTGTTCTCTAGCTCTCATTCTCTCTCTCTCTCTCAAATAAATAAATAAAATCTTTAAATAAATAAATAAACTGCCAAAAGAAAAAAAAATTCCAAACAAAAATTCTGTATCTAACAAACTATCCTTCAAAAGCGAAGGAGATTAAGTAAGATACTTTGAGATAAATAAAAGCTATGGGAATTTGTTGCTAGTTACACCTGCCCTATAAAGAAGGCTACAGTAGTCCCTCAGGTAGAAATAAAAGGACATTAAACAGTAACTTGAAGCTGTAAGAAGAAATAAAAGAATAGTGGTAAAGGTAATTACACAGGTAAATACAAAGGTCAGTATTATTGTGTTTTGGGTTTCTAACTTCTATTTTTTTCCAATATGATTTAAAAGACAAATGCATTAAACAATAATTGCATTTCTATCTTACTGAGCACACAGTGTATAAATACGTAATACTTGACAACTACAACATAATGGGGGAAGAACAGACTCTATATAGGAGTAGAGTTTTTGTGAAGGTAAGGTGGTTAATAATTCAAAATAAATTCTGTTATAAGTTGAAGACATTAACTGCAATCCTAATGGTAACCTTTAAGAAATACTCCCTCCAAAAACAGGAGAATACATATTTTTCTAAGTGCACAATGAATATTCTTCAGAACAGACCACATGTTGGGTAAGTCTCAATAAATTTTAAAAGAAATCATACAATGTATCTTCTCTGACCACAGTGGAATGAAGCTAGAAATCAAGAAAAAAGGAAAACTGGAAAATTCACAAATTTGTGGAAATTAAACAGCATACTCTTAAACAACCAATGGGGCAAAGAACAATTCACAAGGAAAATGAGAAAATACTTTGAGATGAATGAAAATGAATATACAACACACAAAAATTTAGGGAATACAGAAAAAGCAAGCTCAGAGGGCAATTTCATAGCTGTGTTTAAGCTGCTGAGTCTATGTTATTTTGTTATGGCAGCCCAAGCAGACTAATGCAACGTAAGTAAACAGAAAGACATTCGTCGGGTGTCTGTGAACTGGAATACTAAGTATAGTTGAGAAGGTAAAACAACCCAAGCAATCTACAGTCAATAAATGAAATCTTTATTAAAATTCCAATGGCCTTTCTGCAGAAATGGAAAAGCTGATATTCAAATCCACATGGAGTCACAAGGGGCCTTGAACAGTCAAAACAATATTTAAAAAGAATAAAGTTGGAGGGCTCACACTTTCCCATTTTCCCAAAACTTACTAGAAGACTACAGTATCAATTTATCTTTTTTTTTCCTCTGGTTGATTGTGCTTTTTGGTACCATTTGTCAGAATTCGTTGTCAAATCATTAAGGTTTACCCTTACGTTTTCTTTCAAGAGTTTTATAGCTTTAGTCTTATGTTTAGGTCACTGACCCATTTTGAGTTAACTTTTGTGTACAATGTGAGGTCAGGATCCAAATTCATTCTTTTGCTTGTGGAAATCCAGTTGTCCCAGCCCCACTTCTTAAAGAGACTTATTTTTTCCCAGTTGAATGGTCTCTGACACCCTTGTTGAAAATCAGTTAGTTATAGATATGTGATTTTATTTCTGCACTTAGTTCTATTCCATTGGTCTATGTCTTTGACCTTACAGCAGTTCCACATAATTCTGATACTTGAATTTCATGAAAATTAAAACTTTTGTGCATCAAAGGGTATCAAGAAAGTGAAAAGACAATATACAAAATGAGAGAAAATATTTACAAATCACATACCTGATAAGGGTCTAGTATCTTTTATATATATTTATATATAATACATAAAGAACTTCTATAACTCAACTTATATATATATAATATATAAAGAACTTACATATATATAATATAGAAAGAATTTCCATAAATCAACAATGAAAAGACAAACAACCCAATTTTAAAAAATGGGCAAAGGGCTTGAACAGACACTTCTCCCAAGAAGATATACAAATGACCAACAAGCATATGAAAACATTCAACATCTTTAGTTATTAGGGAAATGCAAATCACGAGATACCACTCTGTACTCACTAGGATGGTTAGAATACAAGTCAGTAAGTACTAGCAAAGATTTGGAGAAATCAGAACCTTCACACGTTGCTACAGGGAATGTAAAATGGTATAGCCACTGTTGAGAACAGTTTGGTAGTTGTTCTAAAAGTTAAATATACAATTACCAAGGGACCCAATCCTAGGAAGATACCCAAAAGAACTGAAAATAGGAACTCAGACAAATATTTGTACATGAGTGTTCATAGCAGCACTATCCGCAAAAGCTAAAAGGCAGAAATAATGCAAATGTCTATCAGTGGATGAATGGATAAACAAAACATGGTACATACATATAGTATTATTCAGTCATAAAAAGGAATGAACTACTGGTACATGCTACAACATGAATGAGACTGACAACATTATGCTAAGTTAAAGAAACTAAACACAAAAGGTCACATATGATTCCATTTCTATGAAATATCCAGAAGAGAAAAATCCATAGACACAGAAAACAGACTGGTATGAGGCCAGGGGCTAGCGAGAGAGGGAGATGGGAACTGACTGCTTCATGGGTATAGGATTTTTGGGGCAATGAAAATACTTCAAAATTTTCTATTGGTGGTGGATGAACAATGTTGTGGATAAACAATGTTGTGAATGTACTAAATGTCAATGAATTGAACCCTTTAAAAGATGGTTAATTTTATGTTAGTTGAATTTCACCTCAGTAATTAAAAAAAGGATTATGATGATAGTTTTTTCTACTAACCCGATGAATAATTCCAGCAGAGTGAAGGTGCTTGATTCCACACAGCATCTGATAGAGAAGGTAGGACATTCTTTCATGATCTAGTTCCATCTGAATCACTTGGCAAAGATTCGCATCCATGAGCTCCATGACTATGTAACTTCATGGGTGAAAAAAGATGAAAGCTATAGTGTACAGCAACAGTCTGAGAATAATGTATGAACATAAAGTTTTAATTGTCAAACTTACACATCTTGAAATTCTTCTAGGGATTTCTGTGGTGTGAAAACATTCAAAAGGCCAATTATCTGTGGCAAAAGCAAAAAGACAGAAAAATTAGACACCACTGCTACTAATAATACTTTCATTTAGGAACTGCAAATACATGAGTTAAAAAAAAATCCACTGTCAGTATAAGAATTTTAAAATCTTATGTTCTAAGCCCAAGTAATCTCTTACTTTACATATTAAAACTTTATGGCCAGGGATTGGGGGTAGGGAGGGAACCAAAGCACGCAGGATCTTTAGGGAGGTGAAAAAACTCTGTATGATACTATAATAGTAGATATTATGTCATTACACATTTGTCCAAACCCAAAGAATGTACAACACCAAGAGTGAACCCTAATGTAAACTATGGACTTTGAGTAAAAAGGATGCATCAAGTGATTATAATGAATGTACCAGTCTGGTGGGGAATACAGATAATGAGGGAGGCTATGCATGTGTGGGGGCAGGGGTATATGAGAGATCTCTGTACCTTCCTCTCATTTTTGCTGTGAACCTAAAAATGCTCTTAAAAAAAAAAAAGCCTTAAAAAAAAACTGTTATCAACAGAAGAGCTCCACATATCCATTCCATTTATGAATACTCAATAATCAAGGACCTATATTATAATCCTCTATGTACTTTGTAGGCAAATTTTAAATACCTTCTACTAGCTCTTACCTAACTTAATATCTGTATATAATCTCAGCCCTCCCTGCAACGCCCTCAGTTTTTCATAATAATGAACTTGCCCCGTTTTCTGCATTCCCAGTCTATTCACTGGTTCATCCACAGGCATGCCCTCTTTCCCACCATTCTGTCTTTAATCCTTTTCTCTTACCTGTACCCTTTCCCTGGGCAACATATGGTTTTTTGGTTTTTGTTTTTTTGTCTAAACATTTCTATGTGGATAATTTCCAAATATACATTAAAAGTCCTTACTTAGTTTGTAAGTCTCAAATATATATTGCCTATATACTGCCACTTCAAATGAAAATCTCACAAATATAAAATTGAACTCATTATCATTCCTACCCAAACTCTTTACTTTCCCAGAGTGCCTTCTTTTTTACAAGAGAAGGCTCACAGTGATTTTTTACTTTTTCAGTATTTGCACCAAAATAAATACTGCAAATATGTGCACCATAAAAAATAAAAAATACTATCCCATTCTACTGTCAGCTGACCTTCAACCTCTTCTTCCCATTCCCTGTGCTACTATATAGATAGAGGATTCTAACATCTCATCTAGACTGTTGATGCTATAATTACTTCCAACATTAAGGTTCCCTAAACAGTGATTTCCATTTTATTGCCTATAATATGATAAAAGAAAGACCTGATCATATTACTGACCTCTTCAAAAACTTAATGCCAGAAAAAAAAATTCTAAAACTCCCTTGTAATACATTCAAAGCCTTCCTTCCATGACAGAACATCATCAACCCAGTTCATCACCTGCTAAGCTCTCTATTAAACTTGATACTTTAGCCATCTTAAATAAGTTTAAACAATGTTATCTTTAAAAAAATTTCAATGCCTTTAAACATACTCTTCCCTGTACTTGTCATATTTACCTACTGAATTCAGTTACCTTCAAAACTGATGTCTTTTGTAGAGTCTGACAACCTCTAGTCCTTGACAGGTTGCTGAATATTTTCTTAGTCCCCACAATATCTTACATATTATTATGGCACTTAACACAGTGTCGTATAGTTTCATTTTCACAACAGCCTCATCCCAATCACACCAGAATCCTTGTAAGAAAGAATTATTCACTTTTTCAGCCCTGTACCATAGGGAGATACATGACACACATTTTAAAAACATTTGTTGACAATTAGGGATGGGAAAGTTTGTCTAGACCAACTTCATGAGGGCAGAATCTATGTCATTCATCTAAGCATAAAGTTTTGCTTATAGAAGGCATCAAAATATTTGTTCAGTGAATAAACTCAGAAAAATAATTTCCAGATCAGAAAAGGTCAAACAAATTTGTTTAAGATAGGGAAGGTGATAATAAGAATGCATCTAGCTACTCTAAATGAATTAATTCCTGACTTCTAAACAGATGAACTGCACATCTAGAGACTCGGAGAAATAGTAAACTGTTCATATCTGAGAAATCCTAGAGCAGAAGAAAAGTGTTATGAAAAGCATATAAAGACAAAAGATTAGTGGTTGCTTAGAGCCAAGGGTTGTGGGAGATAGGAAAATGAGAGCTAAATAATATGGAGATTCTTTCTGAGGTGACGAAAATGTTCTAGAACTATGGAAAGTCAAATACATCTGTGAATATACTAAAAACCACTGAATTACACACATTAAATGAATAAACTGTATGGTATGTGAACTGTATCTCAATAAAGCAGTTATAAAATAAAAAATTAAGACAGCTGTCTTACTTTTCAAAAAGGAAAATAAAGGAAATTATACTAATCATAGATTGGACAGTCAAACAAAAGTCAAGAACTGATTATGTGGGTGATATATAACTACTTTGAAAGAATTAACACTTACTAGGAGCAGGTAAAAATTCACTGAGAAACTGTACTTCCTTCTGTGAATAAAACAACGACAACAAAGAATAGCAGCAGTAAATCAGAAACGTGACCAGATAAGTATATGAAGATTTCAAAAAGGCATTCTTGAAAATGTCTCCAGTCATAATATCCATGTGAATAAGATGAAGAATTCAGGGAAGATGGGTAATTTTTATAGTTACACATGTCATTTTGTGGTATGCCCAAGGGTCACTAAAGAACTAATCCAGTTATTATGAAGGCATCCTGAGCAATACTGGAATACGAAACTAGCATGTGAAAAGTCAGAACAAAGAAAAAGCAATCCCCAAGAGTCTGGGAAGAGGAACCAGATTTCATATGTGAAATTCTAGGGAGAAATAGGAAGTACTATACTTAACCTCCAAAACCAAAAGATAATAAGTAAAAGATGGGGGGGCACCTGGCTTGCTCAGTCTGTACAGCATGTGACTCTTGATTTTGGGGTTATAAATAAAATCTTTAAAAAACAAACAAAAAAAGAAAGTAAAAGATGGGAAAGATGTGATCTACTAGCAGGCCTGTGACAAAGAATAACTTGCTAAGACAATGTGAATCAAATGGTGACCTGATTTCTAAACAGGATTATAATGTCCATGGTTAAGAGGAGATGACATGCCTCATCAATTCTCTTGGAGAATTCAGTCAGACATGAAGTACTGTGTGCTAGGTGACATACCAAAGTACGTTCAGAGATAAGTGACCAAGTTGAAAAACAAATTCAAAAGCATCTATGAAAACAGTCGGAAATGCAAAACAATATGAATGTACCTAGTACCACTGAAGTGTATGCTTAAAATGGCTAAGACAGTGAGTTTTATGTTATGTGTATTTTACCACACACACACAAAAAAAGAGGTGAGAAAAAATAGAGATTTTTAGACCAATGAAGAGATGATCTGTGTGGAACATGAAACTGCTGAAAAGGCAAGACATTACAAAAACATCCATCCATTAGGAGTATAAAAATTACATTATCATTCCTGGTTTCCCTCTACAGTTGACCCTTTGAACAACATGGGTTCAAACTGTGTGGGTTCACGTATACATGGACTTTTTTTGATACAGTACAGTACTGTGTAAGAATTTTCCTTATGATTTTAGTAACATTTTTTTCTCTAGCTTACTTTAAGAATACAACACATATAGTATACAAAATATGTCTTAATCAACTATTTATGTTATCAGTAAGGCTTCCAGTCAACTGTAGGCTATCAGTCGTTAAGTTTGGGGTTGTCAAAGTTATATGCAGATTTCAACTGCACAGGGGGTTGATATCCCCCCCACATTATTGAAGGGTCAACTGTATTGAGTTTTACATTCAGTCTCTGAACAAATATGTTTTGAGCATCTACTCTATGTCAGCACTCTTGTGCCAAGGGTACTGCCTGCATAGACCTTGCCATCCCCATCAGAGGGTTAACTATGTGAAACAGGCTTTCCATGCCCTCCATCTAGTCGACGGAACCATCGTTTTTTGCAGTCACCCAGGGACAGGAAGTAGGAGTCATTGGCCATGTCCCCAATGCAAAACAAAGGCAGTATCACCACCATCATCGCCATGAAACAGACTACAAGGGGGCATGAGCAGCTAAATCTGAGGGTAGGAGGCTACCAACAAAACCCTGACAAGCAACATGGCTGGCTCCCATCTAGAACAAGAATGGCTGACACAACTTGTTCCCTGTCCTGACTTTAATCTATACCTCTTTTTATATGCTGTTCTTTCTGGGAGGCCCTTTTCCTTCAACAATCCAATTTTTACCCCATTTTTAAGAATTAGTCTAGGGCCACCTTTCCCCAAAGCTTTCCCATTTCATGAAAGCTCACGCAACCTTCTCTCCTGAAAGCTCAACACTTATTTTCCATCTACCACAATTTGACAATCAAACTTCCACTGCTTTATATCATATTTGATATTTCACTATGTATTTGTCTTCAAAATAACACTATACATTACCCCAAATAAGTAGCCTCATCCTTAACTTACATGAATTTTTCCCCCCAGTGACTAATTTACTAACTCCAGTACACAGAAGGCTTACAGTTAGCTCTCAAAATATGGTAAACTGTGTTATCTGCAATCAGAAAGCACTGAGCTTATTTTATTTTATAAACTCCTTTGTACAAATAACACAAGACATCTCCAGTCAGATGCTTTTGGTTTAGTACTTCATAAAACTGTCCCTTACACAATTCACTCCTAGTTTATTTCCTCTCGGCTGAGAGAAATTATTCCATTAAAATAATCATAAAAGTATGCTTAAGTAAGTTTAAAAAAGTGTAACTATTTCTTCTCAAAATGAGTGAAAGTTATATGTTTTAGTCATTATAACCATTAGGAAAAAGAATTAGGGATATTTTCCTAATTTCATTTAAATATTTTTTGAAGTTTCTGCTAAACTGCTTTATAAAATCACAGACTCTTCAACCTAAAGTGACCAGTGAGTATCAGTATCACTTTAAAAAGTGGGAGTAGGGTAGGGAGAAATGATTTGAATTTTATATCTAATATTAGTAAATAAAATTCCAGTGTCAAAGTAAAATGGGAACAATTTCATCTCTGTGCTAAGGCTACAGTCTTCTGAAATGTCAGCCTGAGAGAAAACAAAAAAGAAGATGAGATCAAGCCTAAAGTTCTTCTAAAACACCTACTTCTTTTAAAACTCCTTTTGCAAATTAAATGTCAGAAAATTACACAATCTAAATTTCAGAAGCTGTTTTCTTTTGATATAATTTAATAAAGTTGAGAAAAAACTTATACTGTAGATATATACCCCTTTTAAATAATGTTTCAATCCAGAAGAATTTAAAGCACGTAATATATTTTTAAAGTTTTGTTATGTATTCATGAACAAATCTTGATTTCATCTATACTTAAGACATTTTCTAAAATGTTCACTTACATTTTTGTGATTAACACATTTCATAAGAACTAGCTCTCTGTAAGCCCGTTTAGCATGAGTCTGATTCTGAAATGGCCGGCTTAGCTTCTTGATTGCAACATTTCTTTCAAGAATGGCATCATAAGCTGCACTGTAACAAGAAATTCAAAAACAACAAAAAAACTTAAAAATCTGCAAAACTGAATTTATGAAACATTCATGCAGACTCCTTTCTTTCTCCAAAGATAAAATGCAACTGTATCAATTTCCAATCTTTGATATTCAACCTGTTTATTCTATACCTATTATAGCATATTCCAACAGTGTATAGCCTTGTTCTGTTTCTTAAAATGTTAATATATTCAATGGACTGTGAAGACAGACACAGTGATTGTTCATTGGGTGTCCTCCAAGATCCACCTAGCATACAATGGGTACTCAATGCACAAATGTTTAATGAGTATTCAGATCCAATAGATAACTTTAAGAGTAATGAATCCTTCACCCTGCACCTACACCAAGGAAAGACACGATTAAAGAATACATGTGGTCGGTCGCCTGGGTGGCTTGGTTGTTGGGCATCTGCCTTCGGCTCAGGTCACGGTCCCAGGGTCCTGGGATCGAGACCCACATCGGGCTCCCTGCTCATTGGGAAGCCTGCTTCTCCCTCTCCTGCTCCCCCTGCTTGTGTTCCTGCTCTCACTGTTTCTCTCTCTCTTTCTGTGAAATAAATGAATGAAATCTTCAAAAAAAAAAAGAAGAATACATGTGGTCATAAATTCTACCCAAATACTTCCTGAAGAATTCTACATAAGTAGATCACTTACATTTCCTTGGACACAACAAAATCAATGCAGAAAGAGAAAAGAACACATATATAAAGGTATATAAAAGGTTATTTTATAATGTAGGAAGTACTTAAAATTTGGGAGGAAGAATTAAAAACTCAAGTTTACAGATATAAATGCTAGATCTCAGGACATTAGAAGCTGCTTTGTAACTGTTAAAGAAACGCCTATAATTCTGCAACATATAACATCATCCTCATTACTCTTCATATTTTCTACCATATGACACGGACTAAACAGCATGTTTTGCAAATGACAGATCAGAGAAAGTAAAGCACAAATAAGGAAAAGCATCTTAAAATTATAGAAGATTATGATTGAAAAAGACTTTAAAAATCATTTGAATTCACCACTGCCAGGAGGTTAATTCGCCCAAGTTGGTCAGACAGTTAAAAGCAAAGCTGAGACCAAAAGACTGAGACATGAGGTTATCACTTTCCATACTGGACTACCTAACATACTGTAAGACTTCAATTTATGTGATATTTGGAAAGTTAGCACACTGCTGATTGAAATTATTCTCTCATCTAACTGAAAACTCGAGTTTGTTCTCTAGCTATCTCACTATCTCAAATGTAGTGAAGAAAGATGTATTAAGATATTGGTACTCTGGCATAAATGGACACATCTACACATTATATGCCAGAACCATTTTGTATATACGTATATATACATACACATAGCAAAACAGACATAAATATTATAACCTTGAGTTAGAAAATGCCATATTTACAGATATGTTCTTCCCAATTTAAAAACAAACATTAGGGGTCATAAATAGAAGTTTTGACTGTTTCAGATCAAGTATGTTTTATTTTTAAGCATTAAATTCATTCCCAGTTTTTATCTGTGAAATCAAACTAATATTTCAAACCTCTGAAGTATCTGAGTAGGTTCCACTACTCTGTATCCAAGGAAGTTAGATATCTAATGTTGATACTTAAATGTGCACAAATCAGAGACCCCAAACCAGACCGGTATGAATCTTACTATCACTGGGCCCAAAATGATGTCTTTAAAAAAAATTTAAGTTCTTCTATTGATTCTGATGATAATATAGAGTGAGTTTAAAAAAAAAATTATTTTTTGAAGATTTACTTATTTTAGAGAGAGAGTGAGAAAGAGAGAGAGAGAGAGAGAGAGAGAGAGAAAGCACACGGGGGAGGGGCAGAGGGAGAGAGAAACTTAAGACAACTCCACATTGAGTGCAGAGCCCCATGTGGGTCTCCATCTCATGACCTGGAGATCATGACCTGATTTGAAACAAAGAGTCAGATGCTTAACCAACTGTGCCACCCAAATGCCCCCAGAAAACACATTTCTATTTTTTTTTTAATTTATTTATTTGAGAGAAAGAGAGCACATGTGTGTGCATGAGCATGGCGGGGGGAGGGTAGAAGGAGAGGGAGAAGCAGACTCCCCGCTGAGCAGGGAGCCTGACACAGGACTTGATCCTAGGACCCTGAGATCACGATCTGAGCTGAAGGCAGATGCTTAACCAACTCAGCCACCTAGGCACCCCACAAAAAACATTTTTAAACACTATTAAGAAGTTTATAAATACTATATTCCTTACAACCACCATGTAAAATTAGGTGAGAACACTGGCTTAGAAGTGTTAACTTGCCATGAATCACAAATACATCATAAAGCTAGAATCTGAACCACGAGCTGGCTTTCAGAATCCTTCCTATATTGACTGTAGCACATTATTTTCTTTAAACTTAATTTGTGGTTTATTAAATATGGTTGGTTAAAATGACAACCAGTCAGCCAATGCTTTATAAAATTACCCAAATTCTATAATTTTTGGTATTATAAATTCTTCAAGAGTACAGAAAGAGAATAAATGCTACTGTTCCCATTAGAGAAATCTGTTATTTTAGTATTTTACCATAATTGCTATTTTACTTTTTCTTTTTTAGGATTTTATTTATTCATTTGAGACACAGAGATACAGAGAGAGAGAAGAGAAAGCATGAGCAGGGAGAGAGGCAGAGGGAGAGGGAGAAGCAGGCTCCTTGTTGAGCCAGGAGCCCCATGTGGAGCTCAATCCCACGACCCTGGGATCATGACCTGAGCTGAAGGCAGACGCTTAACCATCTGAGCCACCCAGGCGCCCCTATTTTTCTTTTTTTTAAAGTAAGCTCCACACCCAGCACGGAGCCCAACACGGGACTCAAACTCAGGACCCTGAGATCAAGACCTGGGCTGAGATCAAGAGTCGGATGCTTAACTGACTGAGCCACCCAGGTGCCCCAAGGGCTGAATTTTTTTAAAAAGTAATATATTATCACAGGTAAAGTCCCCTCCCTTGTCTCTATTTTCAGAGGTAAGCATTATTCTGAGTTTGGTGTTTATTAATGGCTTTTATACTTTCCTACATATGGATGCATCCATAAATATATGGTCCTATTTTGTATATTTTAAACTGTATATAAATGGTACAATAATGCATATATATTCTGCATCTTCCTTTTAAACTCAACATTACATTTCTGAGATTGTCTTTGTTGAAACATACCTCCAGTTCATTTTAAATGTTGTATAGTATTTCACTATATGAATATATCACAATTTTTTATTCTCATGGACAGACTTGCTGCTGTTACCAATTTTTGCTATTATAAATGGTGTTGCAAAGAACAGCCCTATGCATGTCTCTTTATGTACATGTGCAAGAGTTTTTTTAGAACCTGGGAGACCCGCAGGGTCACAAACACTTATGATTTTTTTTAATATATTCTGAAATAAATCTAGTTTAAGAAGAGGTAATATATAATTATGCCCAGTGAGGCTTGGAATTAACCGAAACATTAGCTTATTATGCTAACTCAGTTATCTAAAATCATTAGCAGAACTGTCCTAAAAAGTGTTCTACCCTTCATTTTATAAAGAATTATGTTGGGGCACCTGGGTGGCTCAGTCAGTTGAATGTCCAACTCTTGGTTTCACCTCAGGTCACGATCTCAGGGTCATGAAATCAGGCTGCATTGGGCTCTGTGCTCAGTGGGAAGTCTGCTTGAGTCTATCCCTCTGCCCCTCCCCCTGTGCATGCACTCTCTAAAACAAATACATAAATCTAAAAAAAAAAAATTACGTTGATCCATAAAGCCTAGGCCTTTCATAGAAATTAGCCAGTAAATCAATTTTAAAGATACACAGGAGTTTTGAAACACATTCAATGAGATGATATTAACTCACTGCATTCCCCAATGCAAAGTAAGATTTCTGAAATTTCAGTTTCATTATAGTGTGAAAGTGATGATTAAGTCTAGCTTCTTATTAAACAACTAGCTATGGGAATAGATGTATACATGGAATTAATAAGCATGCCACTTATTCTTTCCTGATAATATTTGTCTTTACATGGCTTGTGACAAAGTATTTAATCATACTTTATACTTAAAGATGGCAGTGCTGGTCCCTGTCTCTATGTCAAATAAATAAAATTAAAAAAAAATAAATAAAAAAAAGGGGGGGGCGCCTGGGTGGCTCAGACGGTTAAGCGTCTGCCTTCAGCTCAGGTCATGATCCCAGCATCCTGGGATCAAGCCCCGCATTGGGCTCCCTGTTCAGCAGGAAGCCTGCTTCTCCCTCTCCTACTCCCCCTGCTTGTGTTCCGTCTCTCTATGTCAAATAAACTAAAAAAAAAAAAAACTTTTAAAAAGTTGACAGTGCTGATTTATAAAGTTGTGTTTAATGAATAATAAAGGCAATCAACCTGCGAACAAAACAGTCTGCTATGTTATAGCTTTAATTTAAACTTTATAGTTTTAATTTTTTGAGGCAAGTTAAATATTTACCAAGGTACATATAAGAAAAGATGGCAGTTAATGATTCTTTGCCTACTTTTTGGAAGTAAAAACTTACCATACTATTCCTTGAGCTCCTGAGCCTATAGGTTTCAAATTCTGATACCGTTTCAAGACTGTAAACGTAGAGTCTCCAATCTCTACACTATAAAAATTGCTGTCACGCTTGCTTCTGCTCATGATGGCAAACAATTAATTTAATGGCTTCATCCAAATATTCACCGAGAAGCTGCAAAATGGAACAAAATGTGATGTTAACAAAATGAATTTATTTAATCTTAAAATTCAAGTCCTCACTCTGTTCACTGATAGTAATACAGATTGCTATACCATGTTAAAAGAGCTGCTTCATTAAAACACAATTAGAAAGAAAAAAATACCAGAGTTTGGTTAGCATCTGCTATACTGAAGGAGATGATTGATCGTTAAAAACAAAACAAAACTTTTACAAGGGTTAAGAGTTTCTCCACTACAAGTCACTAGTATTAATATGCATACATGTCTTAACTTACTGGAAAACTATAAAAACGAACAAAAAAAGCAAATAATTAAATGAAACATGCTTTTAAGGTCACTTCCATAGCTTAAAATTTAAAACCAGTCCTTTTTATGTATTTCTTATAAAATATGGAAACCTTAATTTTTGTGAGAAATTGATAAACTTTCATTCAAAAATAATTCACAATCTCATTTAGTGTGACATGGAAGAAATGACCAACTGCGAGGCTAGTGAGCTGGTTAGCATGTATGATCCCTACCTAATAAACACAGAGCAGCACAGTGCTGCCACCATAACAGAGCCCCTGATCCCCAACAGCAACAACTAGGTGTAATGCGGATGTTGAGGTTATAATGGTTGAAAGGATGAGAAGCAAGGTGCTAAACACAAGATAAAAGAAGAAGATATAAAATAAAGTTAAAAATAAGAAAATATAAGAGCAAATATATAGAGAAAAGCATTTAGTATATTAGGATGTGAAATAAAACAATACTGTTCTGAATTGTGTGGGGCCTCAAAAGCATGACCTAAGTGCTGACCACAGCCCTTTACCACATGCCTGATTACAAACCAAGGAAGTCTTTTTCCACCTATTTGAATTGTATTTACTTACAAACCCATTACCCATTCTTACTAGATGAAAGTGCTCTATTCCTAAAATGCACATAAGACAGCTCCAAACTATTCTCCACATCCCACAATAAACCAAGAAACCAGTTAGGTCTAAAGAATTAGTGTGTTGTGTGTGTACGGTTTTAAGACAGTGCTAACAAAAACAAAAATAAAAACAAAATCCTGAAAGACTTACAATGCAAAGAATCAATTTAACAAATACCAAGTGACTAACCTGTGCCAGGCACTATGTTGGGCCTTAGGGCCAGACTATGTAGAAACTCATGAACTGGATTCTAACACAGTTAGAACACAAGCAATTCTTAGAGTAGGATGGAAGGCACTGGAAAGTGGAGAGCAAGAGTACCCTGACCAGCATCCTGGCTGCTACTTGGGAGATTACACTGCAAGAGGAGGGGAACAAAAGTTGGAAGAGGAAAACTAGTAAGCTATTGCACTAATCCAGATAAGAGATAAAATTAAAATTAATGAGGATTCTTAGATGTGATGAAACTAAACGAAAAGTCCAAACAGTGTAAGCTTTAAAAAAGAAGGTAAGTAAATTGAAAGCAATTGAGAAGTCAGATAAATGATCTGGATACATTAAAGAGGGGGCAGAGAAATATTTCCAAAATCAATAACTAAACTAGTTATGTAATACTCCAGAGAGAAGTGTCTGAAATGACAAAAGTCATTAATTCTGCCTAAGAAGACAGACCAGAAGTTAAAGAATAAGGTTTGGTAATGATTTAAACATTTAGATATGCTCATAGGATGATCAAATACAGGTACTGGGTACCCAGACCAATTTCCTAAAGTAACCCAAATTCCCTCTTGTCTACCAGAGTAGGGAAATAGGAAGAAAGAAAGAGAAGTGAAAAGAGGAAGAGAGGGAAGTGTTGGGTGTCAGGTCCCTCATCAAATACTCTACACACTGATCCTGGAAACCTGGTCTGCCCAGGGCCCGGAGACAATAGTAACGGTCTCTGGTAATGTGCACATATGGTCAGAGGCAGAGCACAGAGCCGCCATAATAGCAAGGAAAGGCTTCTCTCTATTCCCAGAACAGAATGGCCCGGGAGCAGGAGTGCCTATGGTACATACACAGAAGTCTAGACTAAGCTGTGGCAGCAGCTGAGCGATGATAGTTAACACAACTCCCCAGGAACAGGCACAGCAAAGTACCCAAGGTTAAGTAGGTAGGCCCAGTCAGTGGTACCCTCCACAAAAGCCACAGCTGCCACTCCCACAAACAAGAAATAAAAAACTCTACTCATTTATGCTCTCAGTTGCAAAATATTTACTGGCATACCTGAGTCAAACTCTATGCTGGATACAAGAAACACAATAGTAATCAGCATCTATCTGCCCCTTAATGGAACTTGCAGTTAAGACAAATGAAGAGACCATAATTATTATGTTGCTTAGTATCTGCCTGTGTATCAATATGGCTGTGATAAGAGTGTGAAGGGAAAGGGCAGGATGATAATAGAAGCAAGATTATGCTAGTCTGGGCTCAGGAAAAAATTCCCTTGATGCTGTGATGTTTGAGCAAGATCTGAACACTGAATATGAGTTAACCAGGCATAGAGAGAAGGGAGCTTTCTAGGCAGAACAAACAGCACATGCAAGCCAAATTCACCAACTTTAACTATCCAATTTCATGAGTTTGATGAATGTATACAATCCTATAACCACAACCCAAACCATGATACAGATTATTTCTATCATCACAAAAATGTTCCCTGTGGGCCAATCCCTGCCCTCTATTTCCCACCCACCCCTGGCAATCAATGAACTGCTTACTTGTGTCTTTCCTAGCTCTTCATATAAATGAAATCACATAGCATTACGTAATTTGTGTGTCTGGCTCTTTCACTTGCCCTAATGCTTTTTTTTTTTTTAAGATTTTATTTTATTTTTTTAAAGATTTTTATTTATTTATTCATGAGAGACAGAGAGAGAGAGAGAGGCAGAGGGAGAAGCAGGCTCCCAAGGAGCAGGGAGCCCGATGCGGGACTCGATCTCAGGACTCTGGGATCATGACCAGAGGTGAAGGCAGATGCTTAACCATCTGAGCCACCCAGGCACCCAAGATTTTATTTTTTTAAAGTTATCTCTACACCCAATGTGGAGCTCAAACTCACAACCGCAAGATCAGGAGTCTCATGCTCCACCGAATGAGCCAGCCAGGCGCCCCTGCCCTAATGCATTTACTATATATCTGTGCTGCATCCCTTTTTAGTATTGTGTGGATATACCATTTGGACATTTAGATTGTTGCCCGTCTGGAGGTTATTATAAACAATGCTAGTATAAACATTCACACTTGTTTCCGCCATTCATCTTGGGTAAATATTTAGGAGTGGGATTCTAAGTCCTAGGTTTAACTTTTATAAGAAATTGCCAAACTGTTTTCCAAAGTGGCCATACCATTTTTCATTCCCAACAGCAAAGTAAGAGTTCTAAGTGCTCCACATTCTTGTTGATTGCCATTTAACTTTATGTACACTAGTGGGTTTCACTGTAGTTTACATTTATGTTTCCTAAGAATTAATGATGTTGAGCATTTTTTTCACAGGCTTATATGCTACATCTTTTTTTGATGAAGTAGCTAATTAACACTTTTGCCCATTTAAAAATATGATTGCTTTAGTACTAATTTATATCTTCTGGATATACATCGTTTATCAGACGTTGTGGAAGTATTTTTTCTCAGTCTGTGGCTTGCCTTTCCATTTCCGTTTTAAATGTCTTTTTTTTTTTTTAACGTTTTAACTTTGAAATAATTTTAGAACCACACAGAAGTTACAAAAATAGTACAAAGATCCTGGCTATCCTTCACCCAGCTTTACTCAAATGGGAGCATCTGACATGACCATAGCACAATTATCAAAATGAGAAAATTGACACTGGTACATACTATTAAGGAAAAGAAAACTTGACACTGGTATGATACTATTAAACAAACTACAGACTTTATTTCAGATTTTACCAGTTTTTACATGTACTTTGTGTGTAAATTTATCACATATATCTATTAGTGTAATCACAATCAGAATACAGAAGTGTTTCATCTCACCAAAGAAAATCCTTCGTGCTATCCCTTTATACAATTACACCCTCTTGTGAACCCTACCCGTGGCAACTATGATCTGTTTCCACCACTATAATTTTTTTCATTTAAATACTGTTATGTAAATGAAATAACATAATATGTAATCCTTTATAGTTTCCAATATGCAGGTCTTGCAAAATTTTGTTCAACTTTTCCTTGGGTATTAATATTCTAGGTGCTACTATAAATGTTTTAATGTTAATTTATTTTTAAATTTTCAATTGTTCATTGCTAGTACATGGAAATACAATTAAGTTTTTTGTATAATAACTTTGTACTAAGCTCATTTATTAGTCTTAGTAGCCTTTTTTGTGGATTCTTTGATATTTTCCACATATACAATCAGTTTCATGTCTTCATTTCCAATTTGGATGCCTCTGAATTTCTTTTCTTTCCCCACTGTACTAACTACAATTTCCATACAATCCTGAATAGAAATGTTAAGACCAAACATCATTCCCTTGGTTCCTGATCTGAGGGGAAGGCATTCAGTCTTTCACCACTGAGTATATGATGTAAATGACAGGATTTTACTAGCTGGCCTTTAACAAGATGAGAAAGTTCCCTTTAAGTCCTATTTCACTGAGAGTTTTTAGTATTTATAAGTATTGAATTTTGTCAAATTATTTTTCTGAATCTTTTGAGACAATCGTGTAATTTTATTTTCTTAGTTGGTTCATATGAAGTACACTGATTGGATTTTCAAATGTTGAACCAACCTTGTATTCCTGTAACGAATCCCACTTGGTCAAAAGTATCCTTTTTATATTACTGATTCATTTGGCTAAAATTTTGTTGAAAGCTTTTCCATTTATTTCTATGGGGAATACTGGGTCTGTGGTTTTCTTTCATGGTAACATACTGCTGACCTCATAAAATGAGTTGGGAAGTGCTCCCTCTTCTTTTATTTTCTGAAAGACTTTGTGTAGAAGTGGTATTATTTCATCCTGAATGTTTGATAAAATGTCTCAGTGAAGCCTTCTAGGACAAGAGTCTTTTT